AACCGGAGAAGACGGGTCAGACCTCGCCTGCCAAAGGAGACTCACGTAGATCGGCACACTCGCACGCCGCATCTCGCAAGTCGAAGAGCCCTGATCAATGTTCATTCTGCCAGAAAGAGCACTTCCTTGCCTTCTGCAAGAAGTTTCGCAGTAAACCGCCCTCTGAAAAAAGGGACTTTGTCGTTCAGCACAAACTGTGCATAAATTGCTTCGGCAAACACGCCGTTGCTGATTGCTCGTCAAAGCGGAATTGCGCCGCTTGTCAAGAGCGTCACCACAGCAGTATCCACGATGTGTGCGCTAAAACTGCCACGACAATCGCCGGAGCCCCCACTTCTCTCTACGCAGGACAGACCAAGGGCCCGTCGTCTGGAGTATTGCTCGCCACAGCACAAGTGTTCGTGGATAATCGATACAATCAACGCATCATGACACGCGCATTGATTGACCCGGGATCGGAGGTTTCGCTCGTAACCGAGGCTTTGGTGCAGCGTCTCCGACTTCCACGCAAGCCAACGTCTACGATCATTGTCGGAGTAGGCGGAAAACAGACAGGGATTGCTCGCGGGCGCGTGTCAATCACTTTGTCTTCACGATTCGCAGACTTCACGACGACGATTTCAGCCCTGGTTCTCCCGAGGATTACACGGTACGAGGCACGCGCAGAAACCTCGCGCTCTCGATGGGAGCACTTGGAGGGCCTTCCACTCGCAAACCCGGATGGCCAAGCAGACGGAGCCATTGCCCTGCTCCTCGGCGCGGACGTCTACGTCTCCATCATCGACGAAGGAATTCGGAAGGGAGGTGCAGGAGCTCCAATCGCACAAAAAACGTCGCTGGGGTGGCTAGTGTCAGGCGCAATTGCCTCCCCACAGGGCAATTCAGTCAAATCCTTGCAGTGCTTGGTCGACGAGGAATTGTCCAGCATGGTTCGGAAATTTTGGGAGCAAGAGGAGACGGTGCACTCCCCTCTGCCTCTCACCGACGAAGAACAGGCGTGTGAGGACCACTACGTCCGCACGCACTCACGACTGCCCGACGGGCGCTACATGGTGCGCCTCCCCTTCAAGAACGCACCGCCAAATCTGTCAGGGACACGACGCATTGCCATGCGCATGCTGCAAAGCATGGAGCGCAAGACGGACAACGATCCGGACTTGCATAAGCTATACTCTGAATTCATGCAAGAATACGAGGACCTTGGACATATGGCTCGGGTGCTGCCTGCTGCCGACAAGCTCGACAAGACGCAGCGATGCTACCTGCCACACCACGGGGTACTCAAGAAGACGAACGACACCGTCAAGATACGTGTTGTGTTCAACGGATCGGCACGACTAGGCTCCGGTGACTCACTCAGCTCGCACCTTCTCACCGGGCCAAATCTATTGCCGGCACTAACGGACGTGCTGCTGAGATGGAGACGACATCGCTACGTAATAATAGCTGATATCCAAAAAATGTATCGCCAGATCTCAATGCACCCTAGCGATCAAACATATCAACGGATACTCTGGCGACTGAAAAACTCACCCGAGCTGCTAGAGATGCTACTTACGACAGTCACCTACGGACTAGCGAGCTCGCCATTTCAAGCAATCCGAACGATGCGACAACTCGCCAAGGACGAGCGACATGCCTACCCTCGGGCAGCGTCCATTCTGGAGGAGGAGACATACGTCGACGACGTACTCTCCGGAGCGGACACCGAAGACGACGCAAGGGAACTCGTCCACAAACTAACGTCACTATGCATGGCGGGCGGCTTTCCGCTACAAAAGTGGGCGGCGAACAAAGCCGTGATACTCAAGGACGTGCCAACAGAGCACAGGCAAGTGAAGGATTTCGACCTCTGTGATCAGAACGCCAGTCACGCCACGCTAGGCGTGCAATGGCACCCACAGGATGACACCTTCGGCTTCAAGGTCCGGTCGGTGGAAACCACAAGCATCACGAAGCGAACAGCCCTCTCACACACA